CAGCAAGTAACCCAAGGATGCAACTGGCCAGGGAGATGTCTCTCTTGTTGCTTCTAAAGGGCAGGTTTGGGTGTAGGCACTCAGTCACATACTAAAGACAACCAGGAGGGTTTGACAAACTGTTAGCAAGCTGCAGTTTGGGATCTCTGCTGTCGAGATGTCAGAACTGTTTAGACTGCATGATATGGTATGAATAAAGACACAGCTCAAGGAATGTGATTTGAAGATCAAAGCCCAGACTCAGTTCTCCTAACACTGTCTCTCTTCGGGCAAGTCACATTCTCTGCTGGTTTCTCAGTTTAACTCACTCTGAAATTGCAATTGTGATATTTATCTGCTTCTGGGATGCTATATTTAGCAATGCTTGCAAAGCAGCTTGGGAGCCTGTGATGCAAAGGGCAACATATATGTATGTATACACACACAGTGTCTTCTGATTTTTTTTTAGAAATCTTTACTTCTTGCTGTGCAGCCAGAACCTGAGGTTTGCACCAATGCTGCTCTGTCACCTAGCATGCCTTGCATTTGTGAATAGCTCAGGCATGTGCCAAGAAGTCTCAGGCCAGCGTATCTCCTGCTCAGTTCCAAGCTGTAAAGGTCCCTTGTTTTAGAAGACCCAGCATGTTTCTGCAGTGGCCTTTTAGGATGCAGACACAAGAGATAAGAGACAGGGAAGTCATTCCAGGGATCTGGCCCCTGTCCAAGCAGAGGGCATTCTCAACGTTGATAAGATCAAGGCAAGAGCACAAGAGGTTTATGTTCCTATTTAAAATTCTTATCTTATTTTTACATAGCAGAAAACATCTCTCTGATCAACCAGGTTATCAGATTGGCCTTGAAATCCTTACTCCCTTTCTGCCTGCCCCAACAAGAGCTCTCAAGATACCCAGAGGCTTGCCAGTTGTGTCTTCTACCCACCTACTGCTGCTAAGATAAGCCCAGCTCCACCGATCCCATTCAGAGACTGCATGTAGGAGTTCGTGAAGGAAGAACAAGAATAGGACTAGATGACAGACTTGTAACCCTCATCCCAAGAGGGCCTGGAGAACTGAAGACTTATGGTATTATAGAAAGACTCTGGAAGATGGGTCTCTGCATACAGAGCTGGCTACAGCCAACCAAGCCTGGTCCAGGGCAGAAGCAGTTACACCCTGCAAGCACATGCTCGTACAGTCATCCTCCTTCCAGCGCTAAGGAAGTGTCTCCAATGCAACACCCAACTGCACCACGCAAACATGCTCTGGATGCTAAAATATCCATGCACATGCGTGCACCCCTCTCATCCTCACCTAGCACCTTTCTTCCACTTACAGACATCACACTGGCTGACACTAAGGCACCAGTGACCAGGTCTGCACACACACATTGCCCACCTCACTGTGCAACACCCATGTAGGCCCACGCCTACCCCACACCTTGCACTGACACGTGCTACGCTACATGTATCTTATGCACAAATCCACACTTCATACACACACTGTCACCTCCAATTTATCTCTGCTCACCTGCCCACAGGGGCTGATTCTCCTGCTCCATTATCCTTCGCCGGGGAGGAACAGAGGGGAGATTTTAATATTATTTTCTCTTCACTGTAGGCCCTGACCTTTCACAGCTGCTATTCCTGAAAACATTTCAAACAAATGTGCAGCAGCTCAGTCGGGAAGTTTATTAATCTCTCTGCCTTAATCTGTCTAGGTTCTTAGACTTGTCACATCACTGTCCCATCATCGCGCTCAAGAACTGTGTGGAGCGAGCGGAAAGGCTGTAGCCTAACACCACTTGAGCTGGCCCATGGGAAGCTGAAGTGTAGGGAATGACAACAAGGTGGCACCTTAGTGTTAAAACAGCACACGGAAAAGCAAAACCCAGCCTAGGTCACCTGCTTGATAAAGACTCCCAAGGACCATGAACATTTCCAAGGGCTGAAAAACTGTGTTTCAGTGCCAGAGGGCAAAGACACTGCCCCTCCATCTCACCTTCCCATGGGAGACACTTCCAACAGAAGAGGGAGGAAGAGCATAGCTGGGATGATGCAACACCTTGCGTCCTGACATGCCAGCAAAGCCCTGAGATGTCAAGGCAACCAAATATCAGTCAGGAGAAGGGTATTTTTAAAAGCACGCATTATCTCACAACCACATGAGACATTGTCCTCAGCAAGAACAGGATGAAAATGCTTCATTGATGTTACCAGCGGGTCACTGTCATCATCATCCTTGCACAGGAGGGAATAAGCATAATCCTTTCTCCTTCAAGCTTTCAGCAGAAGTGGGGGGAGAATGCAGGAATCCTTGCTTCAAACCCCTGACATAAACCATTAGGTAGCCTGCCTGCTCCTCAGATCAGTTCTCTCACTGCATCTCCATCCAGTTGTACGCTGCCTGGATGTCGCTGCCCACCTCAGTTCAGAGACTGCATGCTCTTTACCTATGCTGAAACAGGAGCACTTGCGCATCAGGGCTTCTCAGGGCTACAACACCACAAGCAAACTGGTTCACATGGTGATGTTTTCTGTTCAGACATGCAGACAGTTACCTGGTTCCTCCCGTAACAGCTCATCAACCCATTTGCTATAAGAGATCTGTCTTAATTTCTTCTACCCTCACCAGAATGGCAAAGTCCCAACACTGAACCTGTATCACCAGACCCTGAGCAACAGAGAACCAAGACTCTTACCTTGCCTCCTGCTATCATCCTTTGCAAAAGGTCACATTCAGTAGGGCCTCAGAATAGCCCTCCCAAGTGAGCTAAGGTCCCTGGTGTGCTCTGACTCCATTACTGAGTGCTGGGCAAGACCCAGAAATCACAGAATGGTTGAGGTTGGCAGGCACCTCTAGAGATAGTCTAGTTCAAACCCCCCTCCTCAGAGCAGGGTCACCAAGAGCACGTTGCCCAAGACTGTCCTGGCATGCTTTGAATACCTCCATGGACAGATACTCCACAATTTCTCTGGGCAACCTGAATTTCCTGCGTTTTAACTTGTGCCCATTACCTCTTGTCCTGCTGCTGGGCAACGCTGAGAAGGAACCCTGTGCCAAGCATGTCTTACTGGCTGGATTGAGGTTTCCTTTTATATGATGAGAGCACAGCATCATCCTTCAGAGGTATTGACCTCTCTCAGCTGCTTCCAGAGCTGCGGCACCTCGGCAAGGTATTCTGCCAGGGACCTGCTGCCTCCTTTCTAAGCTGGGTACACAAAAGTGGGCACTCACAATCATTTGAAAAAATGGAAACAAAAATGCTCCTTTACCTAACAGCTCTGCCACTACGACAGACCAACAAGAGACTGTGAAGTATCATATGCTATTGTCATGGAAACCACACAAGCGCCTCAGGTGGAGATGCACTGTCCCAGCTCAGCAAGGTTGGCCAGAGAAGTGTGGATTCTGTGCCATCTGTCAGAAGGGTGTGCTCTCAGTTTCTGCTGTTTATTTTAGTACGAGCTGACATGGGCTCAGTATGGAGCAAAGGGATAATTCTGCCTCTCAGATTCTCCAGGGGCACAAGAGTAAGCCACAATAATCAGCTCAAGGTGTCAGGGGAAACCACCCCACAGAGGTGTCGCTGAAAGCCCAGGGACTGGGGGACTGCCACCAAGCAGCACTGGAAATAGCTGTAGTCCAGGGACACCCAGAAAAAACAGCAAAAGCACATGGGGCAGGGATAAAGGAAGGTGATAAACAAGTTGCACTAAAACATTGCGGCAGGATTAGACTATTACTAGGTCTGAAGGACAGGCACAGTCTGGGGACAGCTCACAGGGCATAGGAGGAGACAGCTCCACTGAAAACAATCCAGGCAGGAGCACAAGAGAATACATAACAGATCAGGATTAATGTTGCAATCAGAAGTATTAGGTCATTGTGGGGCTGCTGGAAGACAAGACTGAAGTGCCCTGGCAGAAGGCATATGAGGAGTTGGAGAAATACCATCCAGCTCTAGCCAGCCCTACCTGCTCTCCCCCTGTCAAACAAAGCAGTGATGGGCAGCGGCACCCAACGGCACGCCCATAAACAGTAGCACTTCTGGGTAGACAAAAGCTTCAGTCCCATTTCCTGCTGGGCACAGCATAAACCCTGAAGGATCCCGGTCTGCCATTCATCCCTCTTACAAGGCATCATTGCTGGCTAGAATTACTCAGTGAAAGTAGTAGCTTTATCACAAAGAATATCTGTTTTCTTCACCCTGACCTGGTTTTGCCTGTGTATCGCAAACATGCGGAGGATCATATGGGGCTCAGTGGACTGAGGCACTTGTTTTGGCTACAATGTGCAAGGTCACGCACACATCTCCCACAGCACCATACAGCACTGACCGAAAGAAAGCCAAGGTACCCACAAAGGAGATGGGCTGGCTGAAGAGTCAGGGGATGGGGTACTAGAGACAGACTCAGAGGTGCAGGCAGCACAAACTACAAGCAGGAGAGTTGAGCAAACCTAGCCCTGCTAGGCGTGTGTGCAATCAAGAATGGGAGATGCTCAGACACTGCAGTGTCATCCCAGCTGCAAAACCATCCAAGCAATCTAGCTTTCATCTGCCATCATGCAGTCCCACATCCCATACAGTTCTACAGACATCAGTGCACCATGCAGGTATAGTCCCTTTTCCGCAGCTATCTACCAGTACTTCTCACCCCTGCCAAACACCACTTGTTACCTCAGATTAGCACTTCCCTTGGTCAAGGATCCAAATGACACCCTACAGGACAGCTATGCATAACTGTATGAGCTCATAGCAGAGGATGTAGACTTTCACTCCAAGGAAGCTTTGAACCGATAGTCTCCAAAATGGAAAAGCCGATGTATTATTAGCCTCATCAGCACCTAACCTAAATTGCAACTACACTCTATACTCCAGACTAGCAACTTTTGTTACGCAGCTGATCAAGCCACAGGAAACCTGCAGAAATAACATTCTGGGCATAGGTGTTCAAAGAAAATCACCACATTTAGATATATGTGGAAAGATGAAGGAACTGCACCAAAAAAAGGGCAACTTACATGAATTTTAATAACTCTAGTCTTCGCTCCACAATTCTTCTTGAGCAGCATCTTCTGAAAGAGAAGTAGAATCCAGGGATTAGTAGCAGTAGCATGAGGGAACAGAGAGCGGGAAGTTGTAGAGAGTCTCTTTTCATCAACATTTAATTAGCAAACAAGATGGATAGATGGTTAAGTGAGATATGAAAGACTAAGAATTACCAGATGTGGTCATCAAGTAATCAACCTAATCTGAGACTGTCTCACTCAACCTGCACAGAGTCCTTTGGCAGTGGCCGATACCCTGGGTTTCAAAAGAAAGTACAAGAAATTCCACAGAGAAAGATAGAACAACTGCCTAAAAGGAAGTTTCTTCCTAATTTCTGTCAATTAGTGGTTAGACTCTGTCCTGAAGCAGGTGAATTTATCTTCCTTCTATGAAGAAAAAAATAGTCTATTTAATGTAAATGTGGATGTTCCCATTATTTAACAGTTATTTTCATTATGTTCATTTAGAATTAAAAAACAAGGTAAAAAGCACCTGCCCACAGCCCTAAATCCCTTCGCCATATACTGTAAGGGCCATTAAAGTTGTCATAACATATGAACCACACAACTTAACAAACAGGATATACTTAGAACAGCAATTACTCTGTGTAACAACAGAAATAAACAGGTGAGTTGCAGCTCTATCCCAGTTCTGAGGCAGCATTTTGAAAGTTGGCAAGTGAATAAAAATCATTCTTTCCCCTCAAAAAAATTTCCAAAAAAAAGTGGAAAAACAAGGCTTCAAGAAAGAACAGGTTTTCCTTAAAAAAATACTTCAACTACATTTTTCACAGTGAAAAACTTGGTGGTGGAGGCATGTCAGGCAGAAACTTCTCCATCAGCTTTTGAAAAACATAATAGATTTTCCTAGCTCCTGACTATTTTCTACCCTTCTCCAGTTGGAAAGCTGTGTGAAGTGTGGGAAAACACTCCCCCTGCCCCCTCCCACGCTTTAACAAAGCAACTGAAGTATTTTTCAGATTAAGTTCTTAACACAGAAGACCTGTGGAAAGACATCCCACCATCTTACTAATATGGATGGTAAATAGTGTGACCTTTCTATTTTCTCTTTCATTTTGTTTGTAGTCTTCCTGCTTCTTCCAGTAGAAGACAAGATAAAAGCAACACAGTAAAGAGAGCCTTGGAAACTCAGAGCTTTAAAAAAAAACCCAAAATACACAAACACCACCCAAAAACCTCAGAAGAAAAAAACCCAAACCTGAAGACAGTGCTCAGGTGAAAGTATATATTATTTTTCCAGTAGAAAGTACTGCTGGGGGGGCGGGGGGAGAAGTCCCACTCCTCCACCACCTTCTGTCATTCTACAACCCATGAACATGTCTTTGCAGTGCCAATCCACACAGGTGCCCAAAGCTTGGAGAGGGGGTTGGAGATCCACCCACCATTTCCATGCACGCCAGCCTCCTGGATCTAAAATCCAGCCCTCAGCACACTCACAGCCCACTTACATGCCTGGAAAAGAGACTGACACGGCAGCAAGTCTTGAAACTTGTATGTGGATAGTTTGGGGCCTGAGGAAAGTACATTTCACTGCCCAAGCATGCATGGGGGAGAAGGGAGGTGCTGCAAGGATTTTGAGCTTTTTCTCTTAATCCTTTTGCAGGTGAATCCTAATGTTGCCTTTGTTATTCAAAGGGCTCAACAGCAGCCATGCCCAATACCTCTGCCCCCAGGTGTGACCTGGCAGCACAGGCTGCCATGTCAGCACAGCACCAAGGTTTCTAACCTAAAAGGACCCAACAGGTCTTTGTCTCCTACCTCGTTTGTGCAAAGGGAACTGCTGAACTGAACTAACCCGAGCCTGTGCTGTCTGACTAAGCAAGTAATTCTTTGGGAATTCCTATAAAACAACATGGGGCTCCATTCACAGCCAGGCTGCAAGGCAGTTATTGTAAGGATGGTATTTACTGTGAGGTTACTGCCTTTCTTAAGACCCCTCGCAACCACACAATGAAAAAGACTGAGGAGGAGGGAGGACTTGGTGGGGCTGAGAAACCCCAGGGGTGCAGGGAAGGCCAAAGTGAAGAGTTGTGAGGTCTTGCAAAGTTTTGGTCTCTCCGTAAGCTTTTCTTCTAGACTGCTGTGAAATTTTGGCTGGTGGGGATGAGGAAGGGTAAGCTAGATAGCTCAAGCCACAAGCCCACTGGTGGGATAAAATGTGCGTGACAAAGTAGGATTGAGCAATGAAAGTGAGAACCAGGACTCCGGATTTTGAGCCCCATCCTTTAGGGGAAAAGCGCTGTTACAGCGGGACATACCCTGCCACATCCCAGTTGACTACAAGCTGCATCACTTTAGGCGAGACTCTCAGCTTCTCTAGGCTGCTGTAAAGCTGAGCTTTACGGTGGTACTTGGCTGAACCCCCAAGGAAGCTGTGACACCAAATTCCACAGTGCCTCAGTAGCACCACAGGATCCTCTGCTGAAAGGGGAAAAGTATCTTTAAACACAACTCTGTCAGCCAGGGAGCAAGTACAACACCTTCCAGTACAATCCAGTGGGGTCCAATGCCTAGCAAGGTCCCATCCACAGGTTCCCCCCCTGACTCCATCGGGGGGCAACAAAAGACATTATTTCCCAACTACAAATTAGCAGAGGCAGCAAGACCTTAAATTTACTTATCCTGGCCTTCTATTAAAACGCATAGGGAGGAACAACAGAGACAGCAATTACCAGAAGACGACAAAGACTGACTGAAAAGTTTGAACTAGCCTGTGGGTGGATGGACAACCACCCAGACTTTACCAAGAGGAATTCAAGTGCTCAGCTGTATCCCAAGTCCTACGCTTCTGGCAGAAAACAGAGGTGCTCTTTTAGCGGTGCTGTTGCGGTGAGCTTTAATCATATGAGGATCTTACCACTATTTGCACTATTGCTGCAGTTCAAAGAGGTTGCATTGTGCAGCAAGAGCAGGATGCCCTACGTAACATTTTTTGTTAGGCAATAGTGATCTGTGGTGTGCCTCTTGATGGAATTAGTAGTAAAATGAAAACATGACATCCCCTCATCTGCAGGCTGTAAAACTGGAGCATAAACCTCAGCAGAGGAAGCTCTCTAGAACTGCTGGGTTTTCCTACTTCCACTTAGACTGGAAGTGGAGCAAGACCACTTGTGCTACACTCTTCCAGCTTCACTGCAAGGGTCCAGGATCACCATAAGAGACAAAACAGGGGGAGGGAGAGAGAGTGAGCAAGCCAGCCACATGATCCTGCAGCTGAGAATGAATAAATAGAAGGCCAGTTATCAAATGTTATTCTATTTAATCAAATTGCTTGCACCTCACCTGCAGCCACACGCTCTCTGCACCCAGCACAGTAAAGCCATGCTTTACAAAAAGTAAGTCAAGCATCTTGGTATGGTTTTCCATCCCTCGGTTTTCCCTTTCCTTGGCAAACCTGAGCACAGACTTTTGGACAGGGAAGCTAAAACACAGTGCTGCCTAGCAACAGCCGGGGACTTTCCACGACAGCCTCTCCTCATCCTCCCTCTGGAGACCTCCACGTCACAAGCCAGCCGTGAGATGCAGCAACTCATTAACTCCTATTTACATAGATACAAGGCAGAGCTGAAATAACATTTATTTGGCTACATGACTTGCAGTAGCCTAAAGCCGGGGGAATGGCCTGTAAGAAAGGTGACACGTTCAGTTTAGTAACCCTGGGATTATTCCTAACTACTAGGCCAATCTGGAAGTGCAGTTTTATTTCCTCAAGTTATTTTTGGGGAGCTATGTCAAGGAAAAGAGCAGAGAAGGTCATGGAGAATATTAGTAGCAGAGCTGGGAATAAACCATAGGGTTTGGTTTCTGAGACTCTTTCTTCCACCTGCAGAAAAGGAAATGGAAGAAAAAGAGGCAGCATCTGTGCTCAGCCTCCCTATTTCAATTAAAAAGTCCCTCCTGTTGGTCTCTGACAGAACTGCTGGCATCAGCGCTGAAACCTACCGCTTAGGAGCACTATTATTTGCATGAAGGAAAGTTTATTTTATGATCTGCTGTGGCTTCTACTTAAAAGGAGGAAATGACATGACTACAGAAATGTGGAAAGTCTTTTTGAGGGCACAAGAGTTATGCCTCACTCTAAAAATAAGGCTGAATTGGAACATTTTAGGGTTAAACTCCCAGAAAACAGCAGAATCAGTTCAGCCTAAGAACCCTCCCACCAATCTCACCTCCTGTTATACAAATACTCTCAGCTCATAACCCAGTGACTCTCCATCCTGGATTCAAAAGAAAGTTGGAGGGACTGGAAATGATCACTTAGAGGGTTACATATTTACTGAACGACATGCGGTAATGAACCCCCACCCCACCCCCCCGAACTGGCACGTGTGGCTTTGCTGCACATCACTGCCACATCAAAATACCACATTAAGAGCAGAGGTGAACCACCACCCCTGCTTCCCTCAGAGCACAGCCCTCTAGTCCAGCCTTGCTTCTGGAGACATCTCTGATTAAGGAGTAGCGCTCCAAGTCCTCTAACACTGACTTGAGCAGTTCTGAACTAACCCAGATGGTAAATGCTGCACGCATGTATTTGCTTACGCACACAAGCTACTGTATCCGGAACTACTACATACAAACTGCATCATGCAGATGATTGTAATATATATTAACAAACAAAATATAGGTATTCTTAATGCAAGGTCATTCTAGGAATAGTAAATTCATCCTTCTTGAAGATTTCATGTCACACTAATGCAGTTCAAAAATAAATATTTAAAACTCTGGCAATGAACAGTTTAAAGGCAGGCATCACAGCTTAATTTTCAAATATTTAAGAGTTTGTTCAAACTCTTAAATCAGCGTACAATGCAAAATATCAGCTTGTATATTAATAAACACCTTTCATCTTACATCTGCTTTTTATATGCACAGTTCTATTTTTAGAATGGTTTCGTTTTCACTACCTCCATAGGACAAAGCAACAGCTCTTTTGT